TGTTGCAGCCCCTTATTTTGGGACAGCAGCAAGAATTTCCTTAGCCCTGCCTTTCCTGCTCATCTCTTCCACCCCGGGATCTTGGCCACAGATGTCCCTCCCCGTCTCTCCTGAGCCAGCCGCACACCCTACTCGCGTCTGCCTGCACATCTGGAGTCATGCCCAGCAGTCTTAGGAGGAGGTACTTTACTCCATCTTGTTACAATCTTCATGACAGGAAAAGGCCGTCATCCTCGAAATGTGTGGCTGCTGCTGGCAGTGTGCTCTCAGGGAAAGACCTCTCAGGTAGATGGGGACCAGAGTCTGTCGGACTGGCAAAGCCTGAATCATGCAGCACAGTGCCCAGGGTGCTTACAGCAAAGAATGACAGGACGTCTGGCCGTGGAATCACATTATATGCCATTGTATTTGTATATGCGAGCTAGAGAAGCAATGTACTGATATTTTGCATTTGTCTGCCTGGGTGTCTCCCCTTGAAAACCTTCAGGTACCTAATGAGCTTGGCTGACCCAGAGCTGGCCGGCAGGAGCCAGGCTGAGGGCCATGGTAAGGGTGGCCTTGGGGGTGGTTTTGCAAGGCAATTTTTCTTCTTCCAACCCTTCCTTCCCTCCTCCCCCCACCACCTCTGAGCTGGGATGGAGTAGAGTAGGAGACAAGAGGCAGGGGAATTGGCTTATAAAATAGGTATCTTACATGAACCTGTCTGTTAGGAAGGTAGCATCCTAGTCATAACTCACCACAGCCAGGATGGAGGGTTATACCAGCGCTGGGGGCTCTGGGGTGGGTTTGGCTGGGGGCTCAGTGGCTTGTAGTGTCCTTGGGTCCCTGGGCTTGGGAAGTGTAAGAGACCTCACTTCCCTTGGGAAACCTGGCCCGCAATGCCTGGGAAGTTGGCTGCTCTGTTCTCTAGGAAGAGGCTGGGTACCCCACCCCTGGAGTGGGGATTGAACCCAGGGCATTTGTTTTGATCTGCTCCCCAGTTGTTCTTTACTTTTGATTTTTACATAAGGTCTCACTGAACTGATAAACTGCCTAGACTGAACTCAGACCTGCCATTGTCCTGCCTCAGCCTCCCAGAGTGCTGAGATCACAATATGCCCACTGAGGAGGCTGAATTCTGGCTGCTTATTTCCCCTGCAGACCTAAAAGTGACTGAGGGGTGCAAGTCCAGCGTGGACTGTGACTCTTGCTGTACGGGTGGTGGTAGGGCACCCAGAGATGGCAGGAGGCAGCCAGGCCCTACGGGCGGTGATGTTTTAGGAAACTGGGTCAGCTGCCGCCCACCTTCCCCTCCACCTCACAGCGCGGAGAAGCGGGGGTGGGAAAGGTGGGCTCCGTGTCTTCCCAGGGCAGCTGCGTGTCCAGCGGCGACCTGTAGCTGCGAGGGCCTGCATGGGTGGGGGAGCAGATTCTCAGTGGGAAGCGGAGAGCCCTCCACGGGCGTTTGTTAACTGAATTGATCTGATTACTTAGGGCTTTTCTTAGCCAGCACAGGGGCAGAGTGGGGCAGCAGTTGCTTTTCATTCTATTTAATTTCTGTTTTCCAAGAATGAATATCAAGGGAGCGGCTTTGATTAAACAAGCCTTTCAACAGGGGGGAGAGCGCGCCAGATTTTACAGAGAGCCTTGCTGAGTCGCTGGCAAATGGCCACATGACACAATATTTTTAGTCTGTGGATATTATCTCCTTTCTAAGTACTAAACTGCCATTCCCATGAACAAAGCATAAAGATTCAGGGGAAAAAAATTACCCTGGCACTAATACAAAAAAAGAGAAGATTCCTGGAATCAGCCTCTTAAACAGAAATGAAGAAGAAAATTCTCCCATCGCTGGTTCTGTAGCTCTTTCCACCCTTTCTCCCTATTGTTGCTTCTTTTGTGTTCTTTCCTTTTTTTCAGAAGTGGTTGAGACTGAAGGCCGAATGGGAGGGGATTTCAGAGCCAAGTCTGGTATTAGCACATTGGAACAGATTCTTTTTAAAAAGATATTTGGCATGATTTTGTTTTGTTTTGTTTTAAGATTTTCCAAGATGAGAATGTTGGTCTGTCTCAGATGAGAAATCAGGAAGAAGGAAACTTCCATATTTAACCTCCATTCAGCCAATTTTTACTGAGCATTTATTATGTGTCACACCCCATTATGTACTGAGAACACACCAATGAATAAAACAAATCCTTTTCCTCGCTCAGAATATTTCTCTCATTTTCTCTTTCTTTTTCTTCTCTCTCCTCCTCCTCTTTCTCCTTCTTCTTCCTCTCTCTCTCTTCTTCCTCCTCCTCCT